CCACCACCAACATTAAAACTAATATTAAGTTCACGTGTTGCATCTAGCATCTTTCATCTAAGTAGGTCAAAAATTTTAAATCCAAGAATACAATGGGGAACTTGCAGCAATGGCAAAATGAAGATGTCAGCAAATCCTCTCTGCAAAACTAATGATAAAACTGGGCAATATTGTCCCAAACTCCCATTTCAAGACTGTAGAATAATTAAACAAAGGCCAACAACAAATTGACACGTCTATTCATGAAAAACTGTTAAACTTCAAATAAGAACAGGAGGTGGGTGGTATTCTGTGGAAATCAATGAAATAAAAAACAAAACCAAAAGATAGAGAAAAATCAATAAAACCAAAAGATTTTTTTGCTTTGAAAACGTCAACCAAACTGATAAACCATTAGCTATACTGACTAAGAGACACAAATTATCAAATGAGGAATGAAACAAAAGACATCACAACTAACTTTACAGATATTAAGAGGATTATTAGAGAATTTTATGAACTGTATGCCAACAAATTAGACAACTTAGACAAAATAACAAATTCCTAGAGACACACATATTACCAAAGCATACTCATGAAGAAACAGGAAATCTGAACAGATCTCTAACAAGTAAAGGAACTAAATTATGGATTAAAAATCTTCCCACAAAGGAAAACCCAAGCCCATATGGCTTCACCAATAAATTCTATCAAATACTTGAAAAAGAAATAATCCCAACCCGGGGTGCCTGGGTGGCTCAGGTGTTGAGCGTCCGCCTTCGGCTCAGGTCATGATCCCAGGGTCCTGGGACAGAGCCGGGCTCCCTGCTCTGCGGGAAGCCTGCTTCTCTCTCTCCCACTCCCCCTGCTTGTGTTCCCTCTCTCACTCTCTCTCTCTGTCAAATAAATAAAATCTTTAAAAAAAAAAAGAAATAATCCCAATCCTACACAAATGTTATGAAGAATACTGGGAGTGATTACTGAAAATATCTTCATTCATGAAATAAATCTTCATTTAAAATAGGGAACCGAGGGACCCTTGGTTGGCTCAGTCAGTAGAGCGTGCGACCTGATCTCAGGGTCATGAGTTCGAGCCCCATGTTGGGTGTGGAGCCTTCTTATAAGTAGATGGGTGGATGGATGGATGGATGGATGGATGGATGGATGGATGGATAGGTAGGTAGACAGATAGATAGACAGACAGATAGATAAAAAACAGGGAACTCAACCTGGCCTAGCAATGATGAAAAAAAGTTCCAAAATACTTTTATCATAAGACATTGTCTTGAATGTTGCTAATATTTTACCAAAAACTATAATTTACATGCTGGAGTTTGCAAGGTTAGCCATTACAGAATTCTTAACTGAGCACTAAGAAAAACAAAAGGCAATTTAAAGCAGGCTCTGACCTTTAAATTGTCTTATGAGGCATTTCCTCAAAGATCTGATTTATCCCTCTTCTCAAGCTCATTAACTTTAAGCTCCTTAAACTTAAAATTATCACTTTAAGCTCCTTAAACTGTTATACTAGTACAGCATTTATCAGGTAGGCATGCAGTATATTGTTGGAAACTCGAGTCAGTTTAAGGATACCAATAACGAATCTACAAAAAGATACGGAACCCCATTTATGAGCGTTAGAAGGGTCTTAGCTGTCATGTAAAGCATCCATACTCACATTTTACAGAGAGATTGACTCATGTAAAATCTCAAAAACAGCCAGGGACGAGATTCTCCTTTAAATGTCTATCTTCCAGCATTGCTATAAGAAACCAGGTTGACCTTCTTTGTTACCCTTCTTTCTCCTCCATGGTCAAGTCTCCTCCACGGAAATTACTAGCTTTATCAAACTCATCCCATACTCACTAAAGCATGTTCCTTGCCATACACTGAAGCACAACTAAAATGAGTAAGAAATTGCCATCACCACCAAGAATTTCAGTATAGTATAAAAGATAGGACAGTTGCAAATTCAAAGTAGGTCAAAAATCAGAAAGTACGAAGAAGTTCAGAAAAGGAATGTGTTCACATCGGCTACAGTGACTAAGAACGGCTTAAGGGAAGGATAGTATTTGAGATAAGGCTTGAAACGATAAATAGGATTTTGACAGTAAAAAATGAGGGAAGGACATCTCAAGAAGAGGGACATCTCAGTCTGACTAAAGCATAGAGTTCAGGTGTTTGGAACCTTTTCAGCCGTGATACAGTTTATAAACATTTCCCTTGCAAGCCCACGGCACCTATTCCCGTGGGCACACCTGAAAGCATAGATAATATAGGCTGCCTGCCATATACAATGCCCAGGGACGCCCTCCCTCTCTGACTTTCAGGTACATATATCAGAATGGAAATAAGTGAGAATGATCTTGTAATAGATAATCTTCAATCCGCTTTAATTTTTAAGGAAAATCACTTGCTGGGGCACCTGGGCGGCTCAGTAGGTTGAACACTTACTCTTGATTTCTACTCAGGTCATGATCTCAGGGTCCTGGGATCAAGCCCATCAGGCTCCGTGCTCAGCAGGGAGTCTGCTTGAGGATTTTTCTCTCTCCCTCTTCCCCTGCCCCTCCCCACTCTCTCTCTAAAAATAAATAAATAAATCATTTAAAAAAAAAACAAAAATCACTTGCTAAATTTAATATAGCTCTTAGTCAAAAATTGCTTGCTATACTCCACACAATGGAGGGCAATAACAGATTAAGAACCACCAATGTGATGGGAAGTAAAGGTGAGAAACATTGGTCAGAATGATCCCTGGGTGATCTGGAGTACAAACCAAGGCATTTAAACAGTGAAGAGCAATGCTTCAGGCTGAATTTGGGGAGATTACTCTGGAAGTGCAGAGAAAGGGATAGCAGTTAGGAAGTTATTGCAAAAGTCCCAGTTAGGGGAAATAGAGGCCTAAATGAAGATAATACTGGAAAAAGATGATGGAATTGAGAAATGTGACAAATAGAGAAGCTAAGCTTTGTGAGGTCAGAGGTCTAACTTGTCACCTCTGTATCTCTAGTGGTCTTTAGCTCCGTAACTATTTGTTGAATGGATAAATTAGATCTTGGTGGCAAGGCAATAATGCTATAGTGGTGCAGCCAGACTGCCCGGGTTCAGATCAAGCTCTTCCATTTACTAGTTCTATGACCTTGAGTAAGTTTCTTGACCTCTCCATGCCTGTCTTCCAGTCTATTAAATGGGGCTAATAATAGTTTCTAGATCATAAGGTATTTTGAGGATTAAATAAGGTGAAGTGTTAGAAGAATACATGACACATATACCTGCCACACAAAGTAGCTATTATTTTTATTGGTAGAACATTGTATCTTTAACAGAACTTCAGAAATGAGAAAAACAACTTTGGGGTGGGGGGAAGAATAATCAATAGCGCTGAGTGTTTAGTTTGGCATTTAGTGGAGATACCAGAGTGGGGCTTTGCAGCTTGGGGGAAAGGTTTAGACTTAGAAATCTGGCTCTTAACCACTCAGCTGTGCTTCCCACAGACCTCCCATCTCTCACCAAGATCCAGTCATACTAGCCCCTTTCAGTTCCTCCAACAGGCCAGGTTTCTCCTACCTCAGGACTTGCCCACTGCTATTCCCTCACCCTGGAAGGGCACAGAGCCTAAACTCAACAAATATTTAATGATTCAATAGAAGAGTGTGGCATTCTCTGAAAAGTTAAATCCCTAGGAATTTACGGAGAGTGTCATGTAAGAAAGCATGATGGAAGATAAAAGGTATGAGCACAAAAAGGAGTAACTGGGAGGTAACCAAGACAACTGGAACAAAGTTTTGAGGAGATGGGTAATGCCCTAAATGCTCAGAGGAGGAAAGGACGGTGAGGACTGAAAGATCACTGGAGTTGGCAATAATTTCAGGAAAGAACTCTGAGAAGTAATTCTCCAAAAAGTTGCGAGGGAAAAGGGGCAGAGGTCAGATAATTAATAAATCAACTAATACAAACTAATTTATCCAAAATGTTTGATAAGGAAGAGAAGCAGAGTCCAGGAAAGGTGACTGTAGGTACAAACCCTGATTTTATGGGGTTTTGGTGTTGGTTTTTTTTTTTTTTTTTTTTGGTAGGAGAATAAGTAACAATGCAGAGGCAAACTACTTAATACAAACGGAATAAAAACGCGAGACAAATAGCATCGCTATTAGTTCAGTTTTATAATGTCCACAGTGCTTTTCACACACATTACCCTGCCCCCCAACCCTCTAATTCAGTGGTTCTCAAAGTGTAGTTCCTAGACCAGGGTCATCAGCATCACATGGAACTGGTCAGAAATGCACATTTTTGAGTCCCACAACAGATCCACGTAATCTGTGCTTGTGGGACCGAGTAATCTGTGTTTTAAAAAGTCCTTCAGGGGATTCTGATGCTCTCCAGGTCCCCGCATACACTACACTCAGAGCAGAGCGACAAAGACCACTCACTGCAAGGAGTAGCGGCCACAGTAGGAGGGCTGAACCCCTCCATCTGGATCTCCCTCCCTCCTGAGAGGCAGTGCACGACCCACCCCGCCAGGACCGCAAAGCAAAGTCACCCCGCTTCGGACTTAACCTGGGCGAGTTCTACCAACCCCGCCGGGAGCAGAGGTCGGCAGACCGCCCCTAGGCCAAGCTTAGTCACCGCTCCATAAGGGTCCAAGCGCAACCGGCCCTGGGACTTCAACTTCCTGCACTGGGGGCGGGGGGAACGTCTACGGGAAGGGACTCCGGACGGACGTGTCCAACTTCTTCAGGACTGGAGGGGGTGGGGGCGGGGTATTTGCTCTTCTAACCCCTCCATGTGCTAAGAGGCCGGATGAAGCGGAGAAGGAAAAAAGAGAGGCTAGTCTAGGATAAGTTTCCGGAAAACCTGGAACCCAATAAAGAAACAAAGAAGCCTTGAAAACTCTCCTCCCTCTGCTTTCCTACTGTCCCACCCCAAACCCCACGGAATGGAAAAGGCGGAGGCTCAAGGCCGCGACAGAGAGGGTCGCGGGGGAGGACGCTAGGGGAAGAAATCTCGCGATAGGAGGCCGGCCGGGGCGGGGGTGACACCTCTTCCCTCCTCCTCGCGTTAGTTCCGGTCGCAGAGGAGACACCGCCACAGTTGCCGCCACATCGGGGATTTCTGGCTCTTTTCTCTTCGCCTTAAATTCGGTGAGGCGCGACGCCTGCTTGGCTCTGGCCGAGGTTGTGGCCCCTCGTCGTCGGACGGGGCGGGTGGCAGGTCAGGTGCGGCCGGGCTTGAATGGGCCCGAGCGGAGGCCGCCGCATGAGGTCAGGCCGGATCCGGGGCCTGGATTCGAGGGCCACCGCCGCCGCCGCCTCCGCTTCCGCAGGGAGGTCGAGGGGTTGCGGCCCGGGCCGGAACATGGGGCCCGGGTGTGCGCTGCGGCACCGGAGACCGAGGCAGTGGCCGAGGCAGGCCCCCGCTGCCGTCCTGCCCCGCCTGGGTAACAAAGCCGCTGCGGCCTCTGTTGGGTGATGTACGCGTGGGGGGTTCTGGCGGGCGGGGCGGAGGAGCCGCCACCACCTCTGCGGCCGCCTCCACCGCCGCTGCTTTCGCTGGAGGGCGGGCGGATGTACGGGGCGGCAGGGCCCCCGGCGCGAAGCGCCTCGGCTCCTGTGGTGCGCTCGTTGCGGCGGCCGCCACCGCCGGCAACGGGGTCAGTGGGGAAGGGGCTGTGGGCCAGGAGCAGCCCCTACGGCGCCCCGCGCTGGCCAAGGGGGTCCTGGGGTGGGGGCGCGTTATCGCCTTCGAGCGGCAGACACAGGAAGGGTGTGGAGGGGGAGACACGTGCCCGGAGAGGAGACTTAGATTGCAGGGTATGGGGCAAAGGAGTCTAGGCCGGCTCCCAGTTCATTTTGCAGGCTGGAGTGGTGCAAGCGGCCGCTGCGGTCACAGGCACGACTTGGTAGGCTGGTGCTGCTCATAAGCCCCTCTGTAGAAGGGATTCGCCTTTGCCGGTGTCTGAAAACGGACGTACACGTTTTGGATACCTCCTGACTATGGTGGTAATCTCTTTTAGCCTACTGTGGTGCTTAGAAGTAGTGGAATATGTAGGGGAATTTAAAGAGGAACAAGGAGGAAACCAAACAATTATGTTTATGATGGGTGATTTGCCACCGGTCACTATGGAGCTGTAAAGTCATTTAAAAAAGTGTACACCACATCTTTAAAGGGTTTCTTGTAGGGAGAAATGCAGGTTTGAAGTTACATTTAATTCAGGCAAAGGTAATTCCTTGTTTCCCCAGGTCTATTGCCAGGCTGAAAATGTGTGTTATATTTGAGTTACATGTGACTAGACCAAGGTTTGATGCTTTGTTTTTAAAATGAATGTTATGGCACCGATATTTTTAAGGCCTTATTTTTCTTTTCTTAGGGTGTCTTTTATGAATAATCAAAAGCAGCAAAAGCCAACGCTATCAGGCCAGCGTTTTAAAACTAGAAAAAGAGGTAAATATTTATGTTTTAATATCTCTTTAATATCTTATAAAAGATATAACTTTTATATCTTGGTTTCTCGGGCAGGCAGTCTCTTAATAGTAAAGTTTAAGAGAAAATACCAGAAGGGAACTTGAATTTCTAGTCGACTGCCATTTCAGATATATCCTTAATATTTCTACTGTTTTTCTAAGCCTTTAGTTTTTAGTATCAACATATATATCTTTAAGCAGGTTACTGAATGGTCTTTTTATTGCTAAAGTACATTTTTTTAAGTATGGAGTGCATTTTCACTAGCTAAGTTTTATTCAAGCAGACTTATGGTTGAGGGGAAAAGTTAACTTATGAAAGGAGAGCTCCTAATGTGATTGCTAATTCCTCCCAAACTTTGTGAAGATTTGTGAGAGAAAAACCAGACCTTATGCATGGAAGTTAATTATGGAACAGAGTTCACACTGTAATATCCTTTGAAATTAAATATTTCTCACAGACTTAGTAAGAAAAGTACTAGGATTATGTTAACTGCTTCTATTAGTGGGTGGTTAGGTGAATATTTAATTCTGTAGCAAGACACTATACTAGTGATACAAAGTTAAATGAGATGTGGTCTCAGGTATATTTTGTATTGGGCTTAATACTTTCCCCAAAATCTTTCAGTGTTATTGCTCAAAAACACATACTGACCATATTTTACAGGAAATTTTGAGGAAATAGAACTGGGTCAGCTAGTGGTTATAAATTATTTCTCTGCCCTGGGTAACAAACACTTTGAGATGTGTATTTACAGAGTCTTGTAATCCCTGATCATAGACTGCCCTCTTGTAGTGGGGAGACTGAAGAAGATTCGATTCTAGCCTTTGCAAATTTTTTTAGATTTAACCTGGTAAATTTCCTCAAGAGGAGGAACAGAAGTTGGAAACCAGAGCATTTCAGCAGTGATGGGGGAAAGTCTGTATCCTCTTGCGTATGTGGTAGTGTCAAGTAATTTTATTGTTACTGGCATCAGAAAGAGCTGTCACTTCCCCAGTTCCAGATTGAGATCACTCATGCCCTCCTAGTTCTTGATGATGGGGTTCTGGGTAGCATGAACAATCATCTGAATTTGTCTGGGACTGAACACAGTTCGCAGGACATAGGCTTTTCAGTGCTAAAACAGGAAAGTCCTGGGCAAGCAGGGAGGAATTGATTACTCTGGTGCTGTGTGAAAATTAAGATAGCATCTAACCTAGATAGGGAAGTCAAACCCTATAATGGAGTGTGTGATAGCACCTCAGGAAAGGCTGGATATGTGGGTAAGGCACTGTTAAGTACCAAATGAATGATTTAAAAAACAACAACAACAACATAGAAAGTGTTATGGGCATTTAAAGAAAAGAATGAAGAGTTCCAGTGTTTGGACAAAATTTCACTCAAGAAAAAAATTTACCTGAAATTTAGAGGATGTCCTAAATTTCAGAAAAGCCCAGAGGCAGTAGGAGAGCATTCAGGGTAGAAATTGTCTCTGGCCGTAGGAACACACTAGCTCATTTAACTTATCGTTTATGAGACTTATGTAAAAAATAATAGTGGGGAAAAAGCCACACGATTCTTGTGACTAGGCAGTCGTGCCTTGCATTTGCGGAGAGTGTATGTTTAGGTTTTTTCTTGTGTTTGTGTTTTCCAGCTGTTGAAATAAATGAGATTGTGCTAAATGTGGTTAATTTATTCAGTACTTACACTTTTCATAAGGTGGTGGTTTTGTGGCATTTTGGTAAGCCTTTTAAACTAAATGTTGTGGGGTTTTCCCCCCAGATGAAAAAGAGAGGTTTGACCCTACTCAGTTTCAAGACTGTATTATTCAAGGCTTAACTGAAACTGGTACTGATTTGGAAGCAGTAGCAAAGTTTCTTGATGCTTCTGGAGCAAAACTTGATTACCGCCGATATGCAGAAACACTCTTTGACATTCTGGTGGCCGGCGGAATGCTGGGTAAGTGGGTTTTGTGGGAGGTGTAATGTATAGAGATTATGTGGAATCCAGAATATGAACTATTTGACAGTCCTGTCAAATTGGGATGGCTTTGTTTTTGGCTCTTTACCTCTTGGGGATTTTTCCATTTTTTTTCCTCCCAGATCATAGTAACTTAGCAAATTATCTTGCCTTGTGCCTTGTCTAGCTTTATAGTTGAAATCTGTTACAAAACCATAACACTTGGGGATGGCTTTTCTGATACCTATGTCCTTAATACATCCCCAATCAATAATTTTTCCAGCTTGTGTTTGAACACTCTCAGTTAATGGAGAAACCCTTACCTCTCCTGTCTTATGAAATACTACCTCTGTATGCCTAAGGACTAATATTGCACTCTTGAATACATCAGCCACTACCCACATGTGGCTATCAATCACGTGGAATGTGGCTAATTAAATCGAGAGGTGCGATAAGTGTCAAATATACATTGGATTTTAAAGACTTAATAGAAAAAAGAATGTTAAGACCTCAATAATATTTTGAATACTGAAATGTTAAAATCAATATTTTTGATATGTAGGGTTAGAGTATATTAAAATTAGACTTTTTATTTTTAATATTCTTAATAAAGTTCCTAGGCGATAGGAAATTACATCATGTGGCTCACATTCTATTTCTGTTGCACAGCACTGCTCTAACTTGACTTCTACCTCCACCCTCAGCAGCTCAGGGTATCTTAAGAGAATGTGCCGTTTAGCTATATATATTCAAATGATGATGGCAATTTCATTTCCATAGCTCTTTAAGATATTTCAAAATGTTTTCACAGTGATAACTATTGACCCTCACAACCAGGCTGATAGAATCAGAACTCTATTTGTAAGCTTGCAGGGTAGAGGCTTAGAGAGGTTTTAGTGACTCACATGCAAATAATTACTCAGTGGTAGAACCAAGGAATGTTCATATGTTCTAATGCCTAGTCCAATGAGTATTTCCTTCCATTGCATTACCAGTTTATAGTAAGAAAAATCCATTTTCCATTTACAATATTATCAATAAGCCTTCTTTTAAAATTCTTTTTTTAAAACCTTTACTAAGGAAATTTTTGAAGATACCCGAGAGAGAATAGTAAAACAAACTTCTTGTCTATTACCCAGCTTCAGTAATTGTCAATGGTCTTAGTCTGGTTGTGTCTCCACTGACTTCATCCCTCTCCCCAGATTTCAAAGTGTATATCAAACATCACTTTATCCATAAATATGTACAAATGTATGTAAAACATAAAGTCTCTAACTTGTAGGTTTTTATAGCCCAGCCTCTTTGGCAACTTGAAGGGTTGTTTTCTGTATGAAAAGTTACATTATCAAAACCAACTCAACATCTCCACTTGTGTGACAGATTTGATACTATTAAATGGTTAGTGCAGCAAGTTTAATTGGATTGCTAAAGGGGGTTATTCCCTTAAATTGTTTGACTTTTTTCACACATACTGAACCAACTAGCCATGTTCCTACTAAGATACTGAATTTGCTTTCAGGTCATCTTTTAGAATTTTTATCGTTTCATTTTATAATGGGAATCCTTACAGAAAGTAAGATGGAAACAATACTAATTTTAAATGTCACTGCAAATTTTTTGTAAAACATACCCTAGCCCCAGGTGGTACACTGGCAGATGACATGATGCGTACAGATGTCTGTGTGTTCGCAGCACAAGAAGACCTAGAGACCATGCAAGCATTTGCTCAGGTAAATGAGACTTTACATATTTATTTCAATTAGCTGCTATCCATCTGAATAGGAATAGTCTACTTTTAAGAGGTTGCGGGTAGAAAGTTGAAGGAATTAGAACTGAAGATTTAGAGATACTTTTGGGTGCAATATAATGAAATGAGTTAAGGAAAACAAAGCAGAAAAGATTGAATTAGTTATTTTCCTATTGTTCCTTTGGAGTTAGTCCATTTTTAAGAGAAACCTCAAGCTGAAAAGGAAAATCATATCCTTGTCATGATTTGCATCATAGAATTATTCTGCCTGTAACTTTTAAGATTTTATTTATTTATTTGAGAGAGTATGAACAGGGGGAGGGGCAGAGGGCTCGATCCCAGGACCCTGAGATCATGACCTGAGCCAAAGTCAGACACTTAACTGACTGAGCCACCCAGGTGCCCCTGCATATAACTTCTTAAAGATGAATGGGTTATAGGCAGATTAGCTTACCAATCAAAATTTCATTTGAAGGTTTCGTATATAGTTAGGTTTGTGTCATTGTAAGCAAAGAATTCAAGTGTATCTAGCCTAGAGATTTGTTGTCTGTGTCATTAGGAAAGTAGAACCATATTCTGTGATCTTACTCTGTTAATATCCTACCAATGGGTAAATGACTAAAAAAAAAAAAAAAAACAAATGGGTAAATGACTTGTATTTGAGTAATGATTAGTCCTTGCTTTAACATTTGGCAATAAAAATCTGTTGTGGGGTGGCTTAAGTGTTAAGATCGGTATATTGTAGGGTTTGGGAGTTGACAGACTCTTCCTAAGCTGGCTTTAACAGCTTGTAAACTCATTCAGTGGAAGGTTTACTTTGATGTTTTAAAAAGATACTATGAGATACTCAGATCTTTTAGGAATCTGGCATCTGTAGTTATGAGATTATTAAATTCCTTCATTGTTCTTAATAGGTTTTTAACAAGTTAATCAGGCGCTACAAATACCTGGAGAAAGGTTTTGAAGATGAAGTAAAAAAGGTATGAAGAACAGTATGCTTTATGGAAACAAAAGGTTGGGGTCAAAGAGGAGAACATTGTATCTTAATACTGCCACAGGTTTGAAATGATTAGCTGTTTACGTAGGCCTGAAATGTGGTTTGGGAGTGTATCATTTAGTTTAATTTGTTATATAATATTTCTTAGCTTTGTGTCCAAACAAGTGACAAAAGGCTAAAGATCAAAATGGGGTCTGTTCAAGATAGGGGGTAGAGGATCAGAGCTAAGCATATTGAGAAAGAAATTTAACATACTTGTTGTTGGAGTCTTAGGTATTCTGTATATAGGCAGACCAAAAAATCTAGTAATGTAATAATAACATCACGTTTCAGGCACCGTTGTAGTTATTAACTCATTTAATACAAAAACCCTATGAGGCAAGTTTTATTATCCACATTTACTTATGAGGAAACTGAGGCACAGAGGTTAAGTAACTTTCCCAGGATCACTCAGCTACTATTACAACTGAGATACAAATTTGGATGGTTAGCCCAGAGCCCGCACTTTTAACCAATATAGTTTGCCTTACTGCTTCTCTTTATGTAATGTAATTGTTCTTTTAACCTTTAATTATTTACTTTTATAGCTGCTGCTGTTCTTAAAGGGTTTTTCAGAGTCGGAGAGGAACAAGCTGGCTATGTTGACTGGTGTTCTTCTGGCTAATGGAACACTTAATGCATCCATTCTTAATAGCCTTTATAATGAGAATTTGGTTAAAGAAGGTAATCAGCCTTTAGTAAAGAGTTGTCTTTCCTTGGCTGAGGGTGGGGATAGATAAGAGCGTGAAAGGTGTGAACTGATACAAAAGCTAGGATATAGTTTATGTAGATACAGCTGTGTGATAGTTTTCTTTTTTTTTTTTTTAAAGATTTTATTTATTTATTTGAGAGAGAGAGAATGCGAGATAGCACGAGAGGGAAGAGGGTCAGAGGGAGAAGCAGACTCCCTGCCGAGCAGGGAGCCCGATG